GCTGAGGCAGGAGAATTGCCTGAACCCAGGAGGCGGAGGTTGCGGTGAGCCGAGATCGCGCCATTGCACTCCAGCCTGGGTAACAAGAGTGAAACTCTGTCTCAAAAAATAAAAAAATAAAAAAAATTAAGAAGGGGTTTCACCATGTTGGTCAGGCTGGTCTTGAACTCCCGACCTCGGGTGATCCGCCCACCTTGGCCTCCAAAGTGCTTGGATTACAGGTGTGAGCCACCACGCCCGGCCTTTTCTCTTTTTCTTTAGGTACAGTGGGGTAAACAGACTATGGGTTAAGTTAGTTTTGTATCCTTTTTATTTTTTTTAAAAAATGAGTCTCACTGTCATCCAGGCTGAAGTATAGTGGTGCACTCGGCTCATTGCAGCCTCTGCCTCCCAGGTTCAAGCGATTCTCCTGCCTCAGTCTCCCAAGTAGCTGGGACTACAGGTGTGTGCCACTATGCCTGGCTAATTTTTTTGTATTTTTAGTAGAGATGGGGTTTCACCGTGTTGGCCAGGCTGGTCTTGAACTCCGACCTCAAGTGATCCACCTGCCTCGGCCTCCCAAAGTGCTGGGATTAGAGGCATGAGCTGCCGCTCCTGGCCACTTTTGTATCCTTTTGAACCAGTCCAGAAAGCTGTACCATATTTACAGCAAGCTTGAGAGTTACTTATGTCTTTGATAAAATACTCAAATCCAGAACTGGGGTTGAAAAAAAAATTCAGTGAAAGACTGTTTCATAGGGTATAAAAAGACAGATGCAACCATATATTTAATTTTAAAAAATGGAATCTATCTTACATAAGGATTTTGTGAAAAATCTTATACCTATCTGTGTATTACAGAGATGCACAGGCCTTCCACAGCTCATGGAGGAAAGAGTGTATAAACAATTTTGATAAGGAGTTGAGGAACAATTTGAAAATAGTTTACAAAGAGAGAATCAGGAGGCAGAAGAAGCTTCAAGAGGCATGGGGTCTTCAGAAATTGCTCTGGAATGCTGTTTCACTTGTATCAATGTCATGTTCCTGGATAAGAGAATAAGACAAAGCATTTTAGTATTTCAGTACAAAGCCTGAAATGTAAACTCTTCAGTGCTTTGGACTTTATAGAGATTCTGAATCTTCATTAATTAGGACACATAGGTAATATCTGGCTTTAGGGCTGAATCCAACCCAAAGATCAAATTTTCACTACCAGGGCAGGGCTTGTGACCACTGCACACCACCCACCATGATGAGTAACAGAGTTGAAAGCACTAGTGCAAAGACCACATCAGACTTCTTACATTGGCCTTGGGTGCCTGTCCAAGCACGCCACCAGGGTAAGTATTACTGGGAACCTACCCAACCTCTCATCCCATCGTTCACTGCACTAAGCAGCCACGTCAATACCCTCATCTCTGGGTTCCCTTCGTGGATGGCACTTAGAGTGCGATAATTGCCCATACACTCCTATCTCCCATTACACAGAGCTCTGAGAGGGTTAGCAAGGACTGCACTCATTTTGTTCACTGCTCTGGCCCCAGCCTCTACCACCATACTAGAGGTGGAGAGTAAAACACTGCCAAATGAGCATCTGGCAGAGCCAGCTTCCTTCTAGGAGAGGCTGAGAACCTAATTGGTCTTTCCACTCAGTGTCTAAAATCCTAAGCTTATATTTTGCCTGCTTACATTAAAAAATGAAACACTCAGCTGGGTGTGGTGGTTCACACCTGTAATCCCAACACTCTGGGAGGCCAAGGCGGATGGATTACCTGAGGTCAGGAGTTCAGGACCAGCCTGGCCAACATGGTGAAACTCTGTCTCTACTAAAAAATAAATAAATTAGCCAGGTGTGGTGGCGGGCACCTGAAATCCCAGCTACTCAGGAGGCTGAGACAGGAGAATTGCTTGAACCAGGGAGGCAGAAGTTGCAGTGAGCCAAGATTGCGCCATTGCACTCCAGCCTGAGTGACAAGAGAGAAATTCCGTCTCAAAAAAAACCCAAAAACAAAACTTTTTTTTTGCTGGATAAGTGACACAGTCACTATAGAAATTTTAATAAAGAAAATAAAAATCAAACATTACATATATATATTTTTTAAAGATAGGGTCTCGCCGGGCGCGGTGGCTCAAGCCTGTAATCCCAGCACTTTGGGAGGCCAAGGCGGGTGGATAACGAGGTCAAGAGATCGAGACCATTCTGGTCAACATAGTGAAACCCCGTCTCTACTAAAAATACAAAAATTAGCTGGGCGTGGTGGCGCGTGCCTGTAGTCCCAGCTGCTCGGGAGGCTGAGGCAGGAGAATTGCCTGAACCCAGGAGGTGGAGGTTGCGGTGAGCCGAGATCGCGCCATTGCACTCCAGCCTGGGTAACAAGAGCGAAACTCCGTC